CCAGAGCTGGTGCAAATGATTTTCAGTGCTCGGTTTGGATATTTTGAGTATGTCGGCTATCTCCCACGTGGTATAACGTTGGTTGTTCTCAATTAATGTCTCGATTTGATCACTGTCGACTTCAACTGGTCTGCCCGACCGTGGAGCCTCGTCCAGCAAGAAATCTCCAGCACGAAACTTCGGAAACCACTTCTGACACCTTCGAACAGTCACGGCACCTTCTCCATACACTGCACAATTTTTTTTTAACGTTTCAGTTGTGTTTTTACCTTTCTTGAAATAATAAAGTATAATATGCCGAAAATGTTACTTTTTTCCTTCCATCTTCAATGGCTACACAAAAATTCACTAATTTTGATGTTTTTATTCAGTGCACGCTGATATGACAGCTGTCACATGCAATCTAACAAAATTATTTCGAATGAAGTTAAAGACATCTAAGCGCTATTAGAGCCATCTTACAGAAAACCCGAACGAACTTTTTGGCCAACCAAATATATGCTTTTATTTTTTTAATTCAAAAATTTTTTTAAGTTTTAACTTCCTTTTTAAAAATTGAAATACAGTTGATTTATAGTGGTAGTTTCAGGTGTACAGCAAAGTGATTCAGTTATACATACGTATATATATATATATATATATATATACATATATATATATATTCTTTTTTCAGGTTCATTTTCATTACAATTATTACAGGATGTTGAATATAGTTCCCCGTGCTATACAGTAGGTCCTTGTTGTTTATCTGTTTTATGTGATATATGCTTTAAATAGTTGAAGGACTATTCAACCATTTACTCTGTCACAGTTTCAGAAAATATAACAACTAGAACCAATTCTAGCCTCTTACCAGAGGTTACGTGTAACCTTACACTTTTAGTGAACCTCTAGTCAAGGAAAGTGGTATTTCTGGAACAGTAGTTGAGGGATTACATTTTACATATTCCACTAGATTGGTGTGCTCGTTCCTCAGCCCTGGCAGGGCTTCAGGACCAACATTAGAGTTATTAAGAAAATCAAGATTCCCCAGCTCCCACCTCAGACTGAGTCAGTCAAAGCTTTGTGGGTGGGACCTGGATTTATATTTTGAAATTACCATCAGTATTTCTCCAGCTGAGGTGTGAGGGAGAGGAGGAGGACTGACTGCAAACATTTGGGGAATTTTTCTGAATACATATCTCTCCCCTCTCCCCACCTTGTTTTGTGATGGAGACTGAACAGTATAGAGGGTTACCGTGGGCTCGTGTGTTTTTTAATGGTATCATCAGATGATCCTAATACTTAAAACTGCTGGAATAGGACATTATAGTCTGTCTGGGTTTTGATGCTTTTCTGTTCTTCCTTCCTCTTGACATACTCTCCTCTGTTTTTTCTGAGTTCTCGTCTCAACTTTACAGGGTTTCCTGAGGGGGTTGATTGACACCGTTATTTGGCTCCATTAGCGTTTACCACTGTGCATATCAGTGGTCACCATCAACACAATTTGGTAGATGTTTGGTTCAAATCTTGTGGTCCAGTATTAGGAATATCAATGGAATGAACCAGCTGAAAGAGAATTCCTTTCCCCATTGTGAGAACTGGCCAACTGGAGAGAGAACTTACACATTGGCTCACAAGTCTCATCAGTCATAAGACCTTCAGATTTGTGAGGTGATGGCCTAAATATCATAACTGTTGAAATTTAAGTAGAAAGTTGGTATGTGTATTTGATAGACCAGAAAATAAAAATCAAAGAGATGTAGAGGTGTATATGGGTACTTTACTTTCAGAATGGGCTGTGAGTCAGTTGTATGGATTTAGGTAGTAGAATGTTTTCTCTAATAAGTAATAGAAAACAAAAAGGGCTGTAAAACTATGTTTTCAAGCTGATGTTATCAAGAGCATTTGATAGTAGGCTGCAAACAAAATCGTGGTGGGGGGAATGTTTATACACACATGCACGTGCATATACAAATGCCTTGGAGAGGTTTACGTGATTGAATTCTCTTTTCCCTGTTCCTTGTTTGGTCATTCCTCACTGTGACTAGACTTGCTTGCCACCTTCAGCTTTGGTATATTATCCAACATAAATTGCTCTCTCTGTGATTTTTTTTTTTTTTAAACCTAGGTTCTAAGGCCCTGGAATATTCCAATGGGATTTTTGATTGCCAGTCTCCCACCTCCCCGTTCATGGGAAGCTTGCGAGCTCTGCACCTTGTGGAAGACCTGCGCGGGTTGTTAGAGATGATGGAAGCGGATGAGAAGGAAGGCTTGAGGTGCCAGATCCCAGACTCCACGGCGGAAACGCTCATCGAGTGGCTGCAGAGTCAAATGGTAGATGTCTGCTTGTTACAGGTCCTGCACCGTGAATCTTCTGTTGCTTATTCCAAAATTTAGAACGTAGAATAGCTGATCAGAACAGGAAAAAACAGTCATAGGGCAATAGGTTTGCCCTGATTTTATCCCTTAAGAGATTCCAATTCCCTTTTGACTCTAAGGATAGTTTTGGGTTTTTTTTTAAAATTTATTTTTGGCTGTGTTGGGCCTTCGTTGCTGTGTGCGGGCTTTCTCTAGATGCGGCGAGCGGGGGCTACTCTTAGTTGCGGTGCACGGACTTCTACTTGCGGTGGCTTCTCTTGTTGCGGAGCACGGGCTGTAGGCGCGCAGGCTCAGTAGTTGTGGCGCACAGGCTCAGTTGCTCTGCGGCATGTGGGATCTTCCTGGACTAGGGCTCAAACCCGTGTCACCTGCACTGGCAGGCGGATTCTTAACCACCGTGCCACCAGGGAAGTCCCAGAATAGTTTTTTTTTTAAGTGCTGTTAGTATACATTTCATGAATGCCAGCTGGTCACCTGATTTTACCCATAAAAGTGGACTAGCTTTTCAGTTGTGCTTGAATGACCTGCTGTGGCTTAAAAACAAATAGTCCTGTGAGGGAAAGAACAGTTGCACTTAATAGATGCTTTCCTGGTAGTACTGGGAAGTTTACTGTAAAAGGACCCAGTAGCAATTCAAAATAGGGAGTGCAGTGAATAGATACTTCTAATAACCAGGGAGGTTGGTAGCAGTAGTTGATGTCAAGTGCCATCTAGTGGTTGTGGCAGTCATTTCAGTTCCAGTGCATGAGTTAAGCTGTGGATTGGGCTTTAAATGGTGTTCTTATTCACTGAACAATGAGCCTCTTTCTAGGCATCGGGCAGATCTGCCCCTTCCCGGGGCATAGTGGTAAATACCATGGTTTTAGTATGTGTTAAACACGTAAAATCTAGAGACTATCACAAAAATATTCAGAGGAGAAAGAAAAGGTGTTTATTTTGTAAGTATTTAAAGGATATTCAATTTTTAGGAAGTTGCATGAATAAGCCTAGAAGTTAATTGTATCAATATTTATATAAAAGCTAATGAAAATTGTATGAAAGAATCAAGATCTGTTTTTGGTCTGTGGTGGAAATGTAAGCTGTTTGCTTTGGGAACCTTAATAGTACATCCTACGACTAAAGCATTTTCATGTGATGTGACACAAATACCGGGGTTCCCACCCAGTCCCATGCTGGACCTTCTTACCCTTCCGGCCAATATATTGTACCTTCCCATTTCAAGTGCAAACAGTACGATCCATCTTTTAGTGGTGGTGCAGCTATGCAACCTTGATAGTTAGAGATATTTTACTTTTTATAATACACAGTTCCTCATTATTGTACTTTATAATTGCTCTGCAAGTTTCTCCTCTAGAGATTTAAGTATCCAGGTTTGCTGATTTCTTTGGAGAATTGCTTCATGCTCTGAAACCAGACATTTCCTAGCATATTCCTCAGGCTATTTCTACTTCCTCTCTCACCCCTTCTTTACTCCATGTTTTCCTGACCATTCAGCACGTAATAGGAAAGGAACTTATGCTGGTACAGGAATCCATTCCCAGCCAGCATCCAGAGGCAGCCAATGGCAGCCATAGCTTGAGAGTACTGTGATTGAATTTTTCACTTGTGTCTAAAACATTTCCATTAATATGTGCTCAATCTGTTCTCTTACAGTATTTCTGGAAAAGATTGAAAGTGGTGATGATGGTATCTGAACCTAAACCATGTCATTCATACCTTTTTCAGAAACTTCCAGTGACAGTCACAGCTCACTGAGAGTCCACCAAAGTACTTGCTGGATTGCAAGGCCTTTAGGACTTACTCCTCACTGCTTTCTGGACCTAGTGTCTCACTGCACTTCCCCTCTTTCACTCCACTTCAGGCACATGGGATTCCTCACTGATTCTACAACATGCTGGGGAAACTGGCCTCAGGGCCTTTGCACTGGCTGTTCACTCTGCCTGGAAAGTGCTTTCCTCGGATAACTGTATGACTAGCTTTCTTGCATTCTCCTTTAAAAGTTGTGCTCTCGGTGAGGCCTTTCCTGGCCACCCTATCTAAAATTTCACATATTTATTCTTCGTAGTACATCTCCCTGCTTTATTTTTTTCTAAAACTCACCACTTTCTTACGCAATATGTATTTGCCGTATTTATATGTATTTTCTATCTCTCCAACTGGAATGGAAGCATCATGAATCAAAGATTTTTGCCTATGTTTAAAACAAACCAAAAGTGTATCGATGTTGCCTAGAACAATGCTTGGCATTTAGTAGGTGGTCAGTAATTATATTTGTGATGAATGATGCTCCATGAATGATAAAATGGCAAATACATTTGGATGAACTGAGGTTATTTATTGTGTTAAATTTATTCTTTGAATGCATAATGGCTTGTTAATTTGTGTTTTGGGTTGCTCTCTATCTTAATATCTGACATTTTAAACTTAAGTAGCCACAAGATGACAAATACTTTACATACCTTACAAAGATTCAGTTCTCATCCAAAAAATGACAATTAAAAAACTAGATGTGAGTCCAGGGAGGTAAGTTTTTGGAGGGTTAAACTTATTTGTATTTGTCCAACTGATTTATATCTGTCCCCTCACGTGAACCCCAGTCCTTTCAAATTACATGTATTTTCTCAAGCACGTAGAAAATGAAAAAATAAAAGAAGAAAGATGGCAAAGGGCAAAGCCCAAAGCAAGAAGGGGAGAATGGGAATGAGTGTTTGGAATAATGAAGGCATAGGTGTGACATGAATAGTCAGAGCTTACCCTGTAGCAGACTTTAATTTTACATCCAATAGGTAGAGGGTCTTAAGGCTTGCAATTTAATGATTTGCTGATAGTGTAGCTTTCTCCCATTTTAATATGTCAGAAGTTGTGATGTGTCTTACGATCTTAAAAGAGGTATCTATTATACACGTTTTAGCCGGGATTGTTTCTTTCTTTAAATAATAAGGTACCTAGAGTAGTCAAATAAATTCATGGAGACAGAAAATAGAATAGTGGTTGCCATGGGCTGGGGTAGGGAGGAATGAGAAGTTAATATTTAATGGGTACACAGCTTCAGTTTTGCAAGATGAAAAGAGTTCTGTAGATGGATGGTGATGATGATTGCACAACAATGTGAATGCACTTAATGCCACTGAACTGTCTATGTAAACATGGTTAAAATGGTAAATTTTTATGTGTGCTTTACTCTAATCAAAAATTTTAAAATTAATAATTTGATAAAATTTAATGGCATCTTAGAATTGGAGGAACACAGAATCCTACAAATTGTATTGTACATCAAAATAACGAATAAGGGAGATCCTGTCGTAAAAAAGCTGTGAATGATAAGGGAAGGCAGGGCTGTAAATTGGCAGTTACAAACGCTGACCCCGGAGACAGCAGACTTGAACTTTAAATGTTGGCTCTGACTCTTAGAAGCTTGTAGGATTTGGGGAAATTTTCTTAAGCTGTTTGTCTCAGTTTCCTCATCTGTAAAATGCGAGTGATAGTTTCTGCCACACAGGGTTATGAGGATCCCACAAGCTAACATAGGTTGAGTATTTGTCGGTGAGCCTGGTGGAGGGTTAGTCAAAAAGGTAATACTGAAGAGTGGATTGTAGAGAGCAAGGGAAACGTTTAACAGGGCCCTTTGCAATGAGGGAAAGAAAGGGTTGAGTCCAGTTACAAGGGGGGTTAGGTTACAAATTATTTCTACAGTTTACTTCTCTGATAAAAGAATACAGATATTTCCCAGACAATGGGGAAGCTTCCACAACATTTTAGAAAAACTAATTAATGATACTAGTTACGTAATTAAGATTTCATTCATGTTTAATGATGGCCAACTTGGGAGTCCATGTACTTGACTGACTGATGCCAATCTACTCATTAGTGCAACTGGGCATTTGAATTTCTAACTATTATTTTACCCAAGCCAGGAAGATCCCCTGGTTTCCTGTAGGGTGCAGGTTACTCCTTCACTACTGATTTCTGCTGCCTGTTCAATTGTTTCATATGATCAGAAGCTGGATAAGAAAAAAGAAAATAGTAACACTAGTAGCCTGTTAGAGTGAAGGGTATTAAATCTACAAGAATCAATTTGTTTTAATCAGGTAGCTATACCTATGGCCTTCTAGGAAAGAATAAGTTTCTTCTAGGACTTGGAAGTTTGTCTCCTGTGGTTAAAAAAAATCAATTGAATACAACATATTTGTTCAATAACTGAGGTATAATTCTCTGTTTTGATTGTGAAATGTTGTGTGTTAACACAAATATTAATAATGGAGAATTATGTGCTTTATCCAGCTCAAAGTTTAAGAGAGCAAATAGAAAAATATGTCTAATTGTTTGAGCCAAACAAGTCGTTTTTGTTTACTTTAGAGCTAACTTGATGAATTGCCCTAGAACATTCTTACAATGCTTTTTCCAGTAGATGGAGCTGAGGTTCATGACGTTGACCATATCCTGAAATCCCAAAGTGTCTGATCATTTGGCATTTTTAATTATAAAGCAGTCTCAAAATCACCAGAAATTACAAAAAGACAGTTTTCAACAAAGTGAATGAAAATACTGATGGTAAAAACTGCAAGTCAGGCACCATAAGCCAGGAGATAAGTAGCATATAAAATGGGGGAAATGAAGTGTTCTTGACTGGCTTCTGACCTGTTAAATCATTATAATGCATTTCTACCTTTTCTCTATGTTAAAAAAAAAAGATAATATTAATCCTAAATGTACCTCGTTTAAATGTTTCTGTAAAAATAACAATACTCATAATTTATTTAAAGAGTTCAGACATGGGGTATGTTCTCTCCAGGGCTGCTGGCTGTTCTTCCCGAGTCCCTGACCCTCAGCCACAGAATCCATCCCCATCCCACCATCCCCTGATCCCTGCTGCTCTCTGGCCAGCTTCTCTTTTCCTGCATGCCTCCAGGGAATGTTTTTTCAAGCCTTGGCAAACAAGGTACATCCTAAGATTG